GCCATTCGAGCCATGTACTGCACCATGCACATCGCCATTCGAGCCATGTACTGCACCATGCACATCGCCATTCGAGCCATGTACTGCACCATGCACATCGCCATTCGAGCCATGTACTGCACCATGCACATCGCCATTCGAGCCATGTACTGCACCATGCACATCGCCATTCGAGCCATGTACTGCACCATGCACATCGCCATTCGAGCCATGTACTGCACCATGCACATCGCCATTCGAGCCATGTACTGCACCATGCACATCGCCATTCGAGCCATGTACTGCACCATGCACATCGCCATTCGAGCCATGTACTGCACCATGCACATCGCCATTCGAGCCATGTACTGCACCATGCACATCGCCATTCGAGCCATGTACTGCACCATGCACATCGCCATTCGAGCCATGTACTGCACCATGCACATCGCCATTCGAGCCATGTACTGCACCATGCACATCGCCATTCGAGCCATGTACTGCACCATGCACATCGCCATTCGAGCCATGTACTGCACCATGCACATCGCCATTCGAGCCATGTACTGCACCATGCACATCGCCATTCGAGCCATGTACTGCACCATGCACATCGCCATTCGAGCCATGTACTGCACCATGCACATCGCCATTCGAGCCATGTACTGCACCATGCACATCGCCATTCGAGCCATGTACTGCACCATGCACATCGCCATTCGAGCCATGTACTGCACCATGCACATCGCCATTCGAGCCATGTACTGCACCATGCACATCGCCATTCGAGCCATGTACTGCACCATGCACATCGCCATTCGAGCCATGTACTGCACCATGCACATCGCCATTCGAGCCATGTACTGCACCATGCACATCGCCATTCGAGCCATGTACTGCACCATGCACATCGCCATTCGAGCCATGTACTGCACCATGCACATCGCCATTCGAGCCATGTACTGCACCATGCACATCGCCATTCGAGCCATGTACTGCACCATGCACATCGCCATTCGAGCCATGTACTGCACCATGCACATCGCCATTCGAGCCATGTACTGCACCATGCACATCGCCATTCGAGCCATGTACTGCACCATGCACATCGCCATTCGAGCCATGTACTGCACCATGCACATCGCCATTCGAGCCATGTACTGCACCATGCACATCGCCATTCGAGCCATGTACTGCACCATGCACATCGCCATTCGAGCCATGTACTGCACCATGCACATCGCCATTCGAGCCATGTACTGCACCATGCACATCGCCATTCGAGCCATGTACTGCACCATGCACATCGCCATTCGAGCCATGTACTGCACCATGCACATCGCCATTCGAGCCATGTACTGCACCATGCACATCGCCATTCGAGCCATGTACTGCACCATGCACATCGCCATTCGAGCCATGTACTGCACCATGCACATCGCCATTCGAGCCATGTACTGCACCATGCACATCGCCATTCGAGCCATGTACTGCACCATGCACATCGCCATTCGAGCCATGTACTGCACCATGCACATCGCCATTCGAGCCATGTACTGCACCATGCACATCGCCATTCGAGCCATGTACTGCACCATGCACATCGCCATTCGAGCCATGTACTGCACCATGCACATCGCCATTCGAGCCATGTACTGCACCATGCACATCGCCATTCGAGCCATGTACTGCACCATGCACATCGCCATTCGAGCCATGTACTGCACCATGCACATCGCCATTCGAGCCATGTACTGCACCATGCACATCGCCATTCGAGCCATGTACTGCACCATGCACATCGCCATTCGAGCCATGTACTGCACCATGCACATCGCCATTCGAGCCATGTACTGCACCATGCACATCGCCATTCGAGCCATGTACTGCACCATGCACATCGCCATTCGAGCCATGTACTGCACCATGCACATCGCCATTCGAGCCATGTACTGCACCATGCACATCGCCATTCGAGCCATGTACTGCACCATGCACATCGCCATTCGAGCCATGTACTGCACCATGCACATCGCCATTCGAGCCATGTACTGCACCATGCACATCGCCATTCGAGCCATGTACTGCACCATGCACATCGCCATTCGAGCCATGTACTGCACCATGCACATCGCCATTCGAGCCATGTACTGCACCATGCACATCGCCATTCGAGCCATGTACTGCACCATGCACATCGCCATTCGAGCCATGTACTGCACCATGCACATCGCCATTCGAGCCATGTACTGCACCATGCACATCGCCATTCGAGCCATGTACTGCACCATGCACATCGCCATTCGAGCCATGTACTGCACCATGCACATCGCCATTCGAGCCATGTACTGCACCATGCACATCGCCATTCGAGCCATGTACTGCACCATGCACATCGCCATTCGAGCCATGTACTGCACCATGCACATCGCCATTCGAGCCATGTACTGCACCATGCACATCGCCATTCGAGCCATGTACTGCACCATGCACATCGCCATTCGAGCCATGTACTGCACCATGCACATCGCCATTCGAGCCATGTACTGCACCATGCACATCGCCATTCGAGCCATGTACTGCACCATGCACATCGCCATTCGAGCCATGTACTGCACCATGCACATCGCCATTCGAGCCATGTACTGCACCATGCACATCGCCATTCGAGCCATGTACTGCACCATGCACATCGCCATTCGAGCCATGTACTGCACCATGCACATCGCCATTCGAGCCATGTACTGCACCATGCACATCGCCATTCGAGCCATGTACTGCACCATGCACATCGCCATTCGAGCCATGTACTGCACCATGCACATCGCCATTCGAGCCATGTACTGCACCATGCACATCGCCATTCGAGCCATGTACTGCACCATGCACATCGCCATTCGAGCCATGTACTGCACCATGCACATCGCCATTCGAGCCATGTACTGCACCATGCACATCGCCATTCGAGCCATGTACTGCACCATGCACATCGCCATTCGAGCCATGTACTGCACCATGCACATCGCCATTCGAGCCATGTACTGCACCATGCACATCGCCATTCGAGCCATGTACTGCACCATGCACATCGCCATTCGAGCCATGTACTGCACCATGCACATCGCCATTCGAGCCATGTACTGCACCATGCACATCGCCATTCGAGCCATGTACTGCACCATGCACATCGCCATTCGAGCCATGTACTGCACCATGCACATCGCCATTCGAGCCATGTACTGCACCATGCACATCGCCATTCGAGCCATGTACTGCACCATGCACATCGCCATTCGAGCCATGTACTGCACCATGCACATCGCCATTCGAGCCATGTACTGCACCATGCACATCGCCATTCGAGCCATGTACTGCACCATGCACATCGCCATTCGAGCCATGTACTGCACCATGCACATCGCCATTCGAGCCATGTACTGCACCATGCACATCGCCATTCGAGCCATGTACTGCACCATGCACATCGCCATTCGAGCCATGTACTGCACCATGCACATCGCCATTCGAGCCATGTACTGCACCATGCACATCGCCATTCGAGCCATGTACTGCACCATGCACATCGCCATTCGAGCCATGTACTGCACCATGCACATCGCCATTCGAGCCATGTACTGCACCATGCACATCGCCATTCGAGCCATGTACTGCACCATGCACATCGCCATTCGAGCCATGTACTGCACCATGCACATCGCCATTCGAGCCATGTACTGCACCATGCACATCGCCATTCGAGCCATGTACTGCACCATGCACATCGCCATTCGAGCCATGTACTGCACCATGCACATCGCCATTCGAGCCATGTACTGCACCATGCACATCGCCATTCGAGCCATGTACTGCACCATGCACATCGCCATTCGAGCCATGTACTGCACCATGCACATCGCCATTCGAGCCATGTACTGCACCATGCACATCGCCATTCGAGCCATGTACTGCACCATGCACATCGCCATTCGAGCCATGTACTGCACCATGCACATCGCCATTCGAGCCATGTACTGCACCATGCACATCGCCATTCGAGCCATGTACTGCACCATGCACATCGCCATTCGAGCCATGTACTGCACCATGCACATCGCCATTCGAGCCATGTACTGCACCATGCACATCGCCATTCGAGCCATGTACTGCACCATGCACATCGCCATTCGAGCCATGTACTGCACCATGCACATCGCCATTCGAGCCATGTACTGCACCATGCACATCGCCATTCGAGCCATGTACTGCACCATGCACATCGCCATTCGAGCCATGTACTGCACCATGCACATCGCCATTCGAGCCATGTACTGCACCATGCACATCGCCATTCGAGCCATGTACTGCACCATGCACATCGCCATTCGAGCCATGTACTGCACCATGCACATCGCCATTCGAGCCATGTACTGCACCATGCACATCGCCATTCGAGCCATGTACTGCACCATGCACATCGCCATTCGAGCCATGTACTGCACCATGCACATCGCCATTCGAGCCATGTACTGCACCATGCACATCGCCATTCGAGCCATGTACTGCACCATGCACATCGCCATTCGAGCCATGTACTGCACCATGCACATCGCCATTCGAGCCATGTACTGCACCAGTGCACAGTGCCTTCACTCAGCTCCATGCCTGGAGGAGGCGTTGTTTCAAGTCGATTACATGAGAAGTGTTTTATCTCCTCCCTGCACCCCTCTGCACCCATCTACACCAGGTGCGCAGTGACATCACGCGGTTCCATCGGTGAAATCCGCCACGGAGACGAGAAGCATGTGGAGGAAGCTGCTCATTGCATAGTCACTTCTTTCTCTCATTCTATTTCCCCATGCCTCCCTCCTCCTGTCTGCCTCCCAGGTGCGCAGTGAAGCGACGTCACGCGGTTTTGCTACAGAGATGAGCAGCACCTGGAGGAGGCTATTGGTCGCGTGGTCACATCACATGTTTCTCTGCCTCCGCTTCTCCATGCCCCCTCCCACCCCTCTGCCTACCAGGTGCGCAGTGACGTCACACGGTTCCGCTATGGAGACGAGCAGCACTTGGAGGAGGCTCTGAAGAGAATATTCCGCTACAACCTGGTGAGAGAGTAGCTTGCTACGACGTGCTGAGATAGTAACATGGTGAGATAGTAGTTTGCTACAATCTGGTGAGATAGTAGTTTGCTACAATCTGGTGAGATAGTAGTTTGCTACAATCTGGTGAGATAGTAATTTCCACCCTTCCTTCCACCCCTTCCACCCTTCCTTCCACCCTTCCTTCCACCCTTCCTTTCCCCTTCTCACCTGCCCTCCTCTTCCCTCCCTTCTGCTCGACTCTCCCAACCCACCTATGCATGGCAGTCGGGAGGCATTCAGCGCAGAAACGCACCGACACTTACTTCTATCAGCGAGCAGGTGAGCAACTAAGCAACCGCATTTTCACCTATAGCTAAACCATTGAGATAAGAAGGAATTGTGAAGTGTAACTCCCGTGTGTTTGTGGTGCCCTGCTGATTATGAATGCGGTGAAGACTCTTTCCCCCATGAATGTAGCCCCTCCTTTGCCCATCTTTTTCCCCTGTGGTACTCTTGCCCATCTATGAGACCCCATTTTTCTCGTACTGACTGTATATTCACCAAATCTCCCTCCTTTTCAGGTGTACAACGGACGGTACTCCCTGGTGCTGATCTTTGAGGCCCCGGCTCTCTCGAAAGCGGATTTCACGGAGAGGCAGGCCAAGTTCACATCCTTCTTTGGGCCGGGCGTGCAGGCTTTGATTGGTAAGGCGGGGAGGCTACGTCTGCTGGTTGATTGATTGATTATGGTGCTGGTGTCTGTTGCACGTGGTATTGCCTAGTGGTGGCAGGTCAATACGACTTCCTTTTTGGATTGGGCGAGTAGGCTTTGATTGGTGAGGGGGGGAGTTAAAGGGAGGGAGGTACAGCTAGAGCGTAGAAGGGTGGGTCACAGCTGGGGCTGATGGCTGTGGTGTCCCTTCCGCATGGTGTCCCTTCCGCATGGTGTCCCTTCCGCATGGTGTCCCTTCCGCATGGTGTCCCTTCCGCATGGTGTCAGCCCGAGGTGGCGTCCTTCCTTCTTTGGGACGGGCATGCATGCTTTGACTGGTGAAGGTGGGAGGTGAATGGAGGGAGGTAGAGGTAGGGCGCACAAGGGTGGTGTACAGCTGCAGGACGATGGCTACTTCCTTTTATTCCCTCTGCACTCTTTCCTTTTAGTCCCTCGCACTCTTTCCCTTTATTCCCTTTCTTGCGCACTTTCTCCGATTCCCTCCCTCACTCACTTCCCCACTCCCTCCTCTCCCCCCTCTTACTCCTTTCCCCTCACTGGTTCCGTCCCTCCTCCCATTGATGCCCCCCACTTTCTTCCCACTCCCCAACCAATGCTACTTTACCATCCCCCCTTCTTTTCCCACCTCGCTCTGTTTCCTGCTGCCCCCTTACCTCTGCCTCCCCTCCTCCCGATCCCCTATTTTCCTCCACCCTCCCCCTCTTCCTCCCTTTTCCTCACCCTCCCTCCCTCCTGCGCATCACAGAGGAGGTGGGACCCAAGACCTTCGGCGTGCGCCTGGTGTCAACCTAAGCTGGCAAAACTGACATAGTTATTGCACCTAAGTTGTGAGCCGGCAAACCCTAAGCCACCGAATAGAATCCACGTTGCCAGCTGCAGGGATGAGTGTGGTGTGGCTGAGGCCTGGTCGAGGGCAGTGCCTCATGGTCATGGATGGGACAATGCAGCGAATACCAGGGCATACTACTCAATTTCATATGCTACATTATGTTTAAAAATGCAAATTTCAAACAACACGCACGCCCTTAAAGCAGCGGTATACATTTGACAGTACTGCTGCTTCTGTACAGTGTGAAACGCGATTTCGCCTCAACGAAAAAAAAACGAGGGGGGCGATAGTTTTTGGCGAAGACCTAGGGCACTTCTGTTGTGAGGGAACCAGGGTTGGGTTGGTTGTGAGTCACAAAATGGTTCAATGCTCCCGTCACCCACCTCACCTGCCACCCTCACGCACTACGAAGAATAGGCGACTAAAACCTAAAAGACCAGGTAGAAATAGCCAAGGCGCGCGCTGGAAGGTGCGAAGCCAGCAGCGCGACCACGCACGAAGTCGCGGGTGAGTAATTAGGGAGCCGCATTACAAGCCTCGCCTGCGAAACGACCAGCAAAAGCGCGCAGATGTTGCAGCTTGTGCAGCAACTGTCGCGCTCTCCCCTCAAGCATCGCACGCGCGCCTGCATTCCGCGCGAGCCAGCACAGCGCGCGTCAGCATTGCGCCCTCAGCAGATCAGCGCACGCCAGCAAAACGCCCGCAGCAAAGCGACACTACATCTGCATAGCGCACGCGTCAGCACAGCGTGCCAGAGACGCCTCGCTTTCGCCCAGGGGCTATCTCGTGTATAAGAGCAGGCGCTCGCGTTGTTTCGTGCGCCCTGACGAATTCGCGCCGTCGCATACCAGCCGCATTCCCCCGACCGCAAGCCCCCTTCGACATTCCCTTGCCACATCCCCCCCTCCGCATTCCATCACGGAGCGTTCCACCTGCCGCAACCCCCGTTCCGCATCCCCCCTGCCGCATCCCCGATTCCGCAATCCCCCAGCCGCATTCCCCCTTCCGCATTCCCCCTCCACAGTCCCCCGTCCATATTCCCCCTTCCCCATTCCGCCTTCCGCATTCCGCCATCCGCATTCCCCCTGCCGCATCCCCGATTCCGCAATCCCCCAGCCGCATTCCCCCTTTCGCATTCTCCCTTCCGCATTCCCCCTTCCGCATTCCCCCTTCCGCTCCGCATTCCCCCTTCCGCATTCCCCCTTCCGCATTACCCAGCATGCTTCAAACTCACTCCCTCGTGCTCCCTGCCTCATGCTCACTCCCTCGTGCTCCCCCACCCCCATGTCCATCTCCTGCCTCCCTTCACGCCCCATCAGCCGCGCAACGCCTTTCACAGGGGCCTGGCGTCGGCATTGCGTCTTCTGCACCCCTCCAACCTCCACTTCCCCCTCCAGAGCCATACGGCATTCGGTGAGTCAACCGACTCCCCACCTTCCTGCCCCGTCGCGTTGCCTTCGGTGAGTCAACCGACTCCCCACCTTCCTGCCCCGTCGCGTTGCCTTCGGTGAGTCAACCGACTCCCCACCTTCCTTCCTCCCGCGAGACACGTCGCCCATTCGTTGGAAATCGGGCAGTCCCTCTCCCATCTTCCTTCCCCCTCCCCCCCCTCTCCCCACCCCCCCTGGTCCTATATCCTCCTCCTCCTCTACCTCCTTCTCCTATCTCCTCATTTCCCCATCATCATGCCATCTGTTTCTCCCCTACTAGCCCTCCCTTCCCCATCATCATGCCACGAGTTTCACCCCTACTAGCCCTCCCTTCCCCCTCTGCTTCCCCTCCTTCCCCCCTCCTTCCCCTCCTTTCCCCCTCTGCTTCACCTACTTCTCCCCCCTGCATCCCCTCCTTTCTCCCCCTGCCTCGCCTGCCATTCATCCATCAGGTCTGCAGTGAACTCTACCAATCCCACGCCGCCACCTGTCCCTTCCTCCGCTCCCCCACTCACCCCCAGCACATCCAGATCCAACACGACGACAGCGGGCGCCCTCTCATTGGCCCGTGCCACTGCCCTCCCCAGCAGCCGCCGAACCTCCTTCGCAGGCTCGGACCCGAGCCTGGAACAGCTGACACACTCTGTGTGCGCGAGGCAGGTCCGGTCGTTTCGAACCTGCCAGGCTAGGGCAGAGGCTGTGGGCAGAGGTAGCAGAGTAGAAAGCACAGGAGAGACACTATTGGAAGAGTGACCTGCTGGTGCTCTCGTTGTAACTTGACATCAATAGCATGTTACAACGCATTTACCCTCTTGTACCCTCTGCCTTTCCTCTTTCTATAAGAGCGTATTCCTATCCTCGTATCAAGAAAACCTCATATCAACCTCCCACTGAAAATTTCCCTAAACCCAAAACCTCTCGCTACTTTTACCAGGCAAAAAGTACAATCTTGATATGAGGTTTTCTTGATACGAGGATAGGAATACGCTCTAAGGCATCTTTAGGTTTGCAATTGATGTAGAAAAAAAAAGAGCTTTCACAGCAGTATGTACACACAATAACATCAGCACCAGGTATACAAGACAGTGCCATCCTCTACTCTTGGTGTCATCTTCACGCCGTGACACACTCCTGGAACCTGATGCCCCTCCCCTCATGCCGCCAAGCTTGCTTGGGCGAGGCTTTGTCCTGCTTGTAGCTGGAGCAGAGGGAATTGTCCTCCTTATACGTTGCTGAAATACATGCAAAACCGGCTGCTTTGCGTATGCATACAAGTTGTATGAGACCTGGTGTCGCATCGGTAATGGGGCCCCAAAATAATGGGAGGGAAGGCAGGGGTGGGGGCGAAGGGAATACAAGTGAGTACACGTAAGTTAGAGGGGAGTGTATGGGGCAAATGTGATGGCAACACGTGCACGGGAACTAGGAGGCACAAGGCGAATAGTGGCGCAGAAGGGCAGGGCAGAGAAGGAAAGAGCAGGGATGGAAGGGCAGGGATGGGGAGGGAGCGGAGGGGAGGAAGTGGAGGGAGGGATTAGGGAGGGAATGAAGGGGAGGGTAGGAAGGGGACGGAAGGAAAGGAAGGGAAGGAAGAGTAGTGGCAGGTAAGAGAAAGGCAAAGGAATTTGAGGGATGGGGGAAGGGAAGTGGACGGGAGAGGAAGGGAGAGTGGGGGTAGGGGGGGTTGGTTACAGGAAGCAGGAATGGAGGGAAGAGAGGAGCAGAGAGGGAAGGGCGGGAAGAGAGGAGCAGAAAGGGAAGGGAGGGAAGAGAGGAGCGGGAGAGAAGGGAGAGAAGGGAGAGAAGGGAGAGAAGGTAAGGGGGGAGAGAAGGGCGGGAAGGGAGAGAAGGGAGGGAAGGGAGTGAAGGGAGGGAAGGGAGGGAAGGGAGGGAAGGGAGTGAAGGGAGAGAAGGGTGGTAGGGATGGAAAGGATGGAAGGGAGAAAAGGGTGGTAGGGATGGAAAGGATGGAAGGGAGAAAAGGGTGGTAGGGATGGAAAGGATGGAAGGGAGAAAAGGGTGGTAGGGATGGAAAGGATGGAAGGGAGAAAAGGGTGGTAGGGGGGAAGAGAAGGGCGGGTAGGGAGAGAAGGGAGAAAATAAAGAGAAGGCTGGCAAGGGAGGGAAGGGAGGGACGGGAGAGAAGGGAGGGACGGGAGAGAAGGGAGGGACGGGAGAGAAGGGAGGGACAGGAGATTGCAAGGAGGGATGAGAGGGAAGGTTCGAAAAGGGAGAGAAGGTAAGGGGGGAGAGAAGGGCGGGAAGGGAGAGATAGGAGGGAAGGGAGGGAAGGGAGTGAAGGGAGGGAAGGGAGGGAAGGGAGGGAAGGGAGTGAAGGGTGGGAGGGAGAGAAGGGAGGGAAGGGAGAGAAGGGGGAACGTCGGGCGACGGAAAGGGGAATAGGGAGGCGGGAAGGGAAGTCTGGCGGCGGGAAATGGGAATCGGGCGGCGGGAAATGGGAATCGGGCGGCGGGAAATGGGAATCGGGCGGCGGGAAGGCGCATCGGGCGGCGGGAAGGAGCATCGGGCGGCGGGAAAGGGGAAGCGGGCGGAGGGAACGGGAATCGGGTGGCGGGAACGGGAATCCGGCGGCGCGAAAGGGGAATCGGACGGCGAAAAGGGGCGGTCGGCCGGCCCGCCCAATGGGCGGGAAAGGGGATTCAGGCGACGCGGAAGGGGAACCAGGCGGCGGGTACGTGAATCGGGCGACGGGAAAGGGAGTAGGGCGACGGGAAAGGGAGTAGGGCGACGGGAAAGGGAGTAGGGCGACGGGAAAGGGAATCGGCCGGTGGGAAAGAAGAATCGGGGGGCGAGAAGGGGAATCGTGCAGCGTGACTGAGGTTTCGTGGCGGCGGGAAAGGGAAACCGGGCGGCGGGAAGGGGCACCAGGCGACGGGAAAGGGGAATCGGGCGTCGGCGAAGGGGAATCGGGCCGCAGAAAAGAGAATGGCTAAGGCGCCGCCATGAATGCCTTCTCACTTTTGATGCGAAATGCTCCACGTATTAGGTTCCAGAAAATAAACAATGGCTCTGTCGGCGTATGACCTAAGCGTGAGAAGCGCTATAATCGCAATGGCTTGCAGTGCTTTTGGAAGTTACATTTTTTAGTGATGACTATGCACGCTTTGGGAGTGGGGACAGTGGAGAGGAGGCACGTCCTTCAGTATACTTTTGGCTAGGTATAAACTTTTGACGAGTGAGTCAGGTGAGAGGGGTTGGGTTTGAACTAGTCGCTGTGTTAGAAGTCGAGAGACCCTGTAATCTGGTTACCACCATGTACCTTTTATAAACTTTTGGCCTTTCCCCTGCCAAATGTATACCGCTGCTTTAAAACTTCGGATCCATTTGACAGGCGAAAAAAAGTTGTTGTGATCCAGTCGACTCACCCGACTGTCGGCACTCCCAAAGTGCTGGAAATTCGCCAAATCATGACAGGGTTACGAAGTTGTAAATTAGTCGCCCTTCGCGAACACTGATTCTTGGTTAACCGAATTGTCGACCAGAGCCCTGTTCCGTGCCATGTTGCACGCCCGCGAGCGTGCCCCTCTCCCCTCCCCTCCCCGCAACACCAACCCCCTTCGTTCCCCTAGCGTGCGCTGCTCTCCAGAGGAGGTCTAGCTCGAATACTTGGTATTTCTACGCATGTATGCTCAGAGCACGAAATAGAAATGGCCTGAATTTAAGGTCTGGATTCGTCCGCTTCCCGGATATTTCAGGGTTTGTTTCGGGCCAGCTCAGCCTCGTACGGGTTGGACCCAGACCAATAGACAGTCCTGTTCTCCACCCCCTCCCAATTGTACATCAACCCCACGCACCCACCAGGCCATCTCTCTATCACGCTTCCACTCTCGCCCCTCTCACTCTACCCCCTAGCCCGTGCTCCGCCTCCACTCCCCTCTACCGCGCTAAACCCCGTCCCCCGCCGTCGCCCTCCCGCCCCTCAGCTCCCCAAACTCCGCCCAGCTTAGCCCGCCCAGCCCAGTCCGCCAGCTTCCGTGGCGGCATGGAGGTGGCGGGCCCGCGGCGGGCAGGCGTTCGGCGAGTGGAGGAGGGGGATCGCGTGGTGGTGTACGAGGCGCGGGACGCCATGCGCATCGCCACCGTCACGCCCAGCCGCTCCCTGCAGAACCGGTCAGACCCACCGTGGCGCGCGGGGGGGGGGGGTGGCGCGTGGGAGGGTGGCGCGCGGGAGGGAGGCGCAAGGGAGGGTGGCGCGCGGGAGGGTGGCGCGCGGGGGGTGGTGCAAGGGAGGGTGGCGCGCGGGAGGGTGGTGCAAGGGAGGGAGGCGCGCGGGAGGGTGGCGCGCGGGAGGGTGGCGCGCGGGAGGGTGGTGCAAGGGAAGGTGGCGCGTGGGAGGGTGGCGCGTGGGAGGGTGGTGCAAGGGAGGGTGGCGCGAGGGAGGGTGGTGCAGGAGCGGTGAGAGGCCATGGCTGTGGGGCACAGGGCAGTTGGCGGGGCCTGTGTGTGTGAGGCAGCTTAGTGGGGATGCGTGATGGACGCGGGGCGGAGTGTGATGAGGGGCACACCTGTGTTCCCCACGCTCTGCTTTCCCCACGCTCTGCTTTCCCCACGCTCTGCTTTCCCCACGCTCTGCTTTTCCCGCACTCTGATTCCTTCACAATCTGATTTCCGCAAACTTTGCTTTACGCACACTCTGCTTTCTGAACGCACTCTTCCTCCATGCAATAATACCCCCACTCTTCCTCCATGCAATAATACCCCCACTCTTCCTCCATGCAATAATACCCCCACTCTTCCTCCATGCAATAATACCCCCACTCTTCCTCCATGCAATAATACCCCCACTCTTCCTCCATGCAATAATACCCCCACTCTTCCTCCATGCAATAATACCCCCACTCTTCCTCCATGCAATAATACCCCCACTCTTCCTCCATGCAATAATACCCCCACTCTTCCTCCATGCAATAATACCCCCACTCTTCCTCCATGCAATAATACCCCCACTCTTCCTCCATGCAATAATACCCCCACTCTTCCTCCATGCAATAATACCCCCACTCGGCGTTGGCCTGAGCCCCCTCGTCTCCATTTCCCCCCTCCCCCCACCCTCCCCCCACCCTCCCTTCCCCCCCTTTCGCCCATTTCCCCCCTCTCCCCCCTTTCGCACCAGCTTTGGAGTGTTCCGGCACAGCGAGTGGGCGGGGCAGCCGGTGGGGTCGCGGGTGCGGGCGGCCAAGGGAGGCGGCTTTGTGCACCTGCTTGCACCCTCGCCCGCCCTCTGGACCAAGGTGAGGTGCGGTGAGGTGCGGTGAGGTGAGGGGTGGCGAGGTGAAGTGAGGGGTGGTGGAGCAAGGTGAGGCAGGGTGGCGAGTAGGCGGCGTGGAGCATGTGCGAGCAGATTCAGTTGAGTTGGGTGCTAGGATTCCAGTGGTGCGCCCACCACACCACACTCACTGCATCGCCCACCACAGCACACTCACTGCATCGCCCACCACACCACACTCACTGCATCGCCCACCACACCACACTCACTGCATCGCCCACCACAGCACACTCACTGCATCGCACCTCACCTGCATCGTTCCACCACCTCCCGCCGTCAACTCCCTCACCCTCCCCCCCTACACACCCCCCCCCCCCCCCCCTCTCCCTTCCCCCCACCAGGTGCTACCGCACCGCACGCAGATCCTCTACCTGCCGGACATCGCGCTCATTATCGCCCGCCTGGCTGTCACGCCCGGCGCCACCGTGCTGGAGAGCGGCACCGGCAGCGGCAGCCTCTCTCACTCCCTCGCCCGCGCCGTGGCGCCCACCGGCCGCCTGCTCTCCTTCGACTTCCACCACGCCCGCGCGGAGCAAGCCCGGTGAGCAGGCGAGGTGAGCAGCTATGGTGCAGAAGATGCGTACTGCGTCTAGGACGCTTGCGTCCAGACGCAGCGTCCTAGACGCAGGACGCGAGTTTGGGGTCTGTGAGACGCTGAAAAAGACGCATGCCCGGGCAGGCCAAAAAAACGTACGGGCAGCCAAAAAAACCTCTTATAAGGCATGGGGAGGAGGGGGAGAAGGACATTGCACACATTTTGGCAAAAAAGGTTGGGGGTTTTTGAAGGCAAATTGAGTTAGCGTGTAAAACCCAAGGGTTTATAAAGAAGAATTGAGTTGAACTAGATATGAGGAGCACAGATGAGGTGGTTGTGCTCCTATATGGCTTTGGTGGTGGTCCACAAAGAGCTTTGGGGTTGCAATTTAGGTTGGGGGGTAACAAAATTTGGTTGGGGGGGCTGTTTTTGGTGGTCGAAATGGGTTGCGGGGGGGGGGGGGGGGGAGGGGGGAGGGGGGGGTAATGTCGCGAATTTGACAGTCGCGTCGAAATCGCGATTGTCAAATTCGCGCGTCAAATTTTTTTTCGGTCAGCCCAAAAAAAAATCCGCCAAGCGTCCTGCGTCTTGGCGTGCGTCCAGCGTCTTGCGTCCGGACGCAGGACGCTCTGAGCGTCTTTTGCAACATAGGTGAGCAGGCAGTGAGGGGGAGGGAGGGTGAGGTGAGGCGGCATGCGTGGCATGCATGCTCCTGGGAGCAGGGGCGCGCAGCACATGGCAGGGTCGCGCATGGCAGGTGAGGATGGTGAGGAGATGGGTGCGTGCCACATGGCATGGCATGGGCAGGCTGGGGAGAGCCCGAGAGGAGGTGAGGGGGGTGAGGGGAATGCGAGTGACTGGCGAGCTCCCCTTTCCTCTGACCACCCGCGTGGTGCCCCCTGCCATGTGCAGGGCGGAGTTTGAAGCCAATGGCATAGCGGGCGTGGCCAGTGTGCAGGTGAGGGACATCCAGGGCCACGGCTTCCCCCCTCACCTGCACGCCTCCGCGCACGCCGCGTTCCTGGACCTGCCCTGCCCCTGGCTCGCCCTGCCCTCCGCCGCCGCGTGCCTGCTGCCGGGCGGGCGGCTGTGCTCCTTCTCGCCGTGCATGGAGCAGGTGCAGCGCTGCTCCCAAGCCATGCGCGCCCACGGCCTCACCGGTGCGTCTCCAGCCACCCACACGCCGCTCTGCCTCGCGTTCCCCTCTCTTGCTCCCTTCCACCCACCCCTGCTCGCTGCTTGCATCTTTCCATTCCATGCCTCGCTCGTTGCTCCACCTCCCCGTCTGCTCATCTCCGCTCCCCCCTTGATCGCTGCTCCCTCCGTACCATGCCCCACATGCCGCCAGACATTCGCACTGTGGAGCTGCTCAGCCGAAGCTACGAGGTGCGGGAGGAAGTCCTCACCGTGCCAGACCTGAAGCCAGCCTCGGAAGCTCCGAGCCTTGAGCCGCCAGGGGGGAGGGCCAGCGAGGGCGGCGGGGGCCAGCAGAGCGACGGTCGGGCAGCGAAACGCCGCCGCGAGGAGGGGGCTGGTGACGAGAAGGGGGGTGGTGGTGAGGAGGACGGTGGGATGGAGCAGAGCACAGCGGCAAGGGCGGAGGAGGGGAGACAAGACGGTGGTGCGATGGGAGAGGCAGGGGCAGTGGGCAGAGGGAGGAGGGAGATGAGCAGGCGGCAAAGGGGGATGGCGGAGAGCGTGGGCGAGGAGAGGAGGTACGTGGCAGCGAGGCCGGTGGCGGAGAGCAAGGGGCACACGGGGTACCTCACTTTCGCCGTCAAGCCCGTGTGACGCTGGGTCGCCGCTTGTCTACGGTAACAGTGGTGACTCGCGGTTTTTAAGTGCATTGGCTCGGATGACAGTACTGCCAGGCATGAAAATCAACCTCACAACACTCCAAAATCCTCGAGCTTGAACTGTCATGCCACGGGACATAAGTTTTGACCCAAGGAATTCACATCTCATTGTTCTCAGTCTCGGAACATGACACTGCATACTGCGTACATGACTCTTCCGGCCACTGTACACCCAATAGTAGCCCGTTACCACCTCGCGGCACTCGCCTCCATACTGTTGATGTTAACACGACCATCACGCCGAACCGGCTCGGCTGGTAACCCACGACCCGGTTGTACACTTCGACATTTCCCAACCTCGACATCACGCCGGATGGGGCACCCTTTTGCGAGCGTGTTACCGGTACCGTTGCCGAAACACTTCGCCTACCAGGGTCTCAGAAATAGAATGCAACGGAATGTTTGTAATTAGCAATGCAAGGGGTACAAATGGGAAACCGTAAAACTGTTATACTCACTAAAGAGCACCCACTGTTGCCTACAACAAATAACAACATTTGACACACCCCCATGGGCTAAGTGAGGGGCATCTAAGCAAGCAGGTCAACTAACGGTCAAAGACCAGTCAAAACAGGCAACAAGGCAAAGCTCAGAGTGGATCACGACGTCACCAGTTCAAGAGGTTACATAAGATATATAGGTGCAAGTACAAGCAGAGCAAGGCTACGGCAGACGAGCAACAGAATCAACAAGCCCTAACTGCACACAGAACCGGTGGTGATCACCAGGCGCCAAGGCCTTGGTGAAGAGGTCTGCAGTGTTGGCCTCTGAGGCCACAAAGTCCAGCCGCACCTGGCCACGACGCTGCAGCTCGCGCAGGAGGAAGTACCGAACGTCAATATGCTTCACCCTGGTCTCCAGTCGAGGCTTGCGACACAAGAGAATCATGGCCTTGTTGTCGGCGAACAAGGTCTGCGCAGTGCGAGGCCGCTCACCAAGGTCGGCGAGCAAGAAGGTCAACCAGCGAAGCTCTTGAGCAGGGACAACGTCTTGTTGTCACAAAACCAGTCAAGAGAAGCAACAAAGCAAAGCTCAGGGTGGATCTCAAGATCACCACACAGTCCGAGCACAAGCAAGCGGCCACAAGGCCAGTTCACATGCAGTATTACAACAACAAAAGCAGTACAATGATCACAACCCAGCAGACGTACACATGCAGGTATAGATATATAGAGCAGAGTACAGCAAGACTAGAACAAGACTAGAGCAAGTGACGCAGAATAGGCTCAAGGCCAAGAGCAGTGCAGAATCGCTGATGATCACCATACCCAAGGGCCTTGGTGAAGATATGAGCAGTGTTGGTTTGGGAGGCCATGTAAGAAAGGCGAAGCTTACCACGCCGCTGCAACTCTCGCACGACAAAGTAACAAAGGGCAATGTGCTTCGTTCTGCTTTTGAATCTCTGCTCCTTACACAAGGCAATCATGGCCTTGTTGTCAGCATACATAACCGGTGCAGAACGATGCTGCTCTCCCAAGTTGGTGAGTAAGTAGGCCAGCCAGCGTAACTCCTGCGCAGCCATAGCCCTAGCGTAGATCTCGACCTCACAGCTGGATCTGGGAACAGAAGACGAGCGACTGGACCTCTACGAGATAGAGCCAAGGCCGAGGCTAATAGTGTAGCCCTGTGAATACCACGAAGCATCTAAGTGCCCTATGAGCACAACTGAACCCCATCCCCCAAGCAGAAGCTACAAGCCTGATGTACGGGCCAAGTAATGCAGCACCCTCCTAGCAGCCCGCCTGCGCTCAGGGTAGTGTCTTCCGGGCGCAACGTAGCGCGCCAGGATGCTGAGAGGGTACGCGAGGTCAGGCCAAGTGCACGTCATCAGGTACATGAGGCAACCCACAAGATCCGGATACAGACCACTAGGCTCTACGGACTCGTCCGAAGGTGGAGCTGAGAGCGTATGGCCTATATGCAGAGGAGTGGGCTGTGCCGAGGAGAACTGAAAGCGGAAGTGCTGAAGGACCTGCTGCACCATGTGTGATTGAGTTAGAGTGATGGTGTGCGCTACTCTGTTCCGGGTGAACTGAGCCAAGATAGTTCCGCAGTTCACCCAGATCAGTGCAGGTGTGTCTCTTATGCAGCTCAGCCTTCATAAAGTCCAGTGCCTCACTGTCAGCAGACGCAAAGACCAGGTCGTCTACATACACAATGATGTAGAGGGTTTGTGCGCAGAAACAAGGATGGGTCAGCATTCGAAGGAGCGAAACCAAGAGCCGCAAGTGTCATCCTCAGTGTGTCGTGCCACTCGTGGGGCGCCTGACGGAGACCGTAGACTGGGTGCCGGATTCTCCACTTGGTATCCCCAGGAAACGACCCAGTGAAGCCAGGTGGGCGGTGAAGCCAGATGTCATCGTGGAGGCTGCCCTACAAGAAAGTTGTCGAGAAGGCAAGCGAGTGCAGCTCGTAGTGACACTGTGCTGCAACGTGCAGTAACACACGAAGAGTCGTCATCTTCGGGGTGGGGGAGAATGTATGGAAGACGTCGACCCCCTCACGGTGACTGAAACCACGTGCAACATAACGCTCCTTGAAGGAGGACGGTGAACCCGACGGCCGCTTCACCCGGAAGATTCACATGCATGGTGGGACTGCGTCACCGTAGGTGCCAGTGGACTTCCAGGAAGCCATCTGTGTGTCCATAGCTGCCTGCCACTGAGAGGAGTAAGGATCCGTGATCGCCTCTGCGTAAGAGAGAGTGATCGGGATGTCAAGTGCATCCGGGTCTCCCTCAGGGGCAAGCAGCATGGCAGCGAGATGGGGTGAAGCAGCCCCAAAGTACTCTAGCTCGAACTGTCTGCCCTCAAGGACGTCACAGCCTAGGGCAAGCTCATCCCCAACGGACGTTGGACAGGCAGGGTAAAAAACCAGACTCGCAAGGTAGTCAAAGCGGCAAGTAGCAGCAAAGTCAGCGAGTTTAGCGACTAAGGCAAAAGCATCAGCAATAAAAAAAGTAGGGTCAGTTACAAGCGTGGAAAGACTACAAGTGACAGTCGGGCTAGTAGCACAAGCAAGGTCAGACACAGGGTCAGGTACGTCAGGAAGAGAAGACGGGGAAGGTAACGGCAAAACAACAGGCTGCGAAACAAAGGAAGGACGAAGTGCCATCGTGTGCGAACTGGGAACAGGAGGAGGGCGAACTGCGGAGAGTCATTCTACAACGGTAGTGGGCTAGACTATGGGGGTTGGCACGAACTACTAGGAGTGATCGTAGCTTTGCTTGCGTTCCTTAGAACTTGCGCATTCATGGGAAAAGTTGGCAAGAGTTTGGCTAGCAAGGTCGATTTTTTGTTTTTTGGAATCGTTAAACAAGCAATAACAACAATGACTATATCAGGCACCTAGCAACTCTGCAGCCAGCCTGGTCGACCTCCAGCACAGCTTGGTCGACCGCCTGCCAGCGTTGCGTAGAGGAGCCGTGCCAGCACTGAAGAAAAGCGACCCGCCAATACTGCAGGTCGACGGCGTGCCAACGCTGCAGCAGTGCGGCTGTCCAGCGTTGCACCTGTAAATGGCAGCAGTGCGCACGATCGCAGGTGCGCGCAGACGACTGGTCCAACTTGCATCGTTGTGCATCCGTCGGCTGTTGTTTGCGCCTGACGAGCCACATCAACTTTGGGATACCAGCCCGAAATCGCCTTCGCCATCGCGACCTCGATGACGTTCGCGTGCCTCCGCAGAACTCGTCGAGCAGGTTACCCGGTCGACCTGGACACCACCAGGTGCTCTGGTCGACCATCGGGTGCCTCTGGTCGACCATCGGGTGCCCCTGGTCGACCACAGCTCCCGTCAAGCTACCCCCTGGTCGATGGACCCCTTCCGTCGACCAGAACTGTCAGCTGTTGTCGCCAAGCTCCCCTCGTCGACCGCTGCTCACTTGTCAGGTCGACGAACGGCTCCGTCGGCCTCCCGGTCAAACTGCCCCTCCTGGTCGACGGCCCACCCGTTGCCCAGCCCAGTCAGCCGCAGCTGTCGAGCTCCCTGGTTGACGGCTCCAGCCTCGTGACAGACATGTGCAGGTCGACAGCCACCTCGTCGACCTGCCCCGCAGAAGAAGGCCTTCGAGCACTGCTGGTCGACGACAACACCACAGCGGTCCCCTGCAGCTCGACGAAGCCCGTCGAGCAGCTCTTCCACTGTGAACGGTCGGCTGCTTCTCCTGTACATCCGACCAAGTCGTCGGCGTTGCCCAAGCGAGGGCGGGGCCAACACTCCACTCCCGTTAACACTTTCCTGCCGTGCTCACGCTTGGGCCTCCAGCCCACACGGTAGTACTCCACGGAGAAAACCCGTCCTCGGCGTGCACCCCACTCACAGCACGCCGTCACCGCACCAGCCGTGCAGAAGGGCACGGCACCTACTGCCGCACATCATCGTCGCCGTCGCCGACGTCGACCAGGCGAACTTGGCCGATGGCGACAAAGCACCGGTTGAAAGCCGGAAAGTGCAGCGCCTTCGTCAAGAAGTCAGCCGGCTGCTCGGCGGTCGGGATGTACTTCAGCACGAACTTTCCGAGCCTCACCATGTGCTGCAGCCAGGCGTAGCGTCGCTCCATGTGCTTGAGGTTGCCCGTGAGCCCCAAGTCCTCGGCGACCGTAATTGCCGACTTGATGTCCACACGGAGGACGGCCGGCTTCTCGGCGTCGAGCAGCTTGAACTCTGCAAGGAGGAAGCAAAGTCGACGCCCCTCCTTGCCGGCGTCCGTGGCCACGACGTACCCCGACTCGGTCGAGGAGAGCGTTGCGCACTTGATGCGCTGGCTCGACCAGGAGACCGCGACCCCTCCGAAGACGAACACGTAGCCGACCGTGCTCGTCCGGTTCTGCTTGTTGCCCGCATCGTCGGCGTCCACGTAGCCGATCATCTCCAGCGACTCTGGTCCACCGCCGAACTCCAGAGCGGTGTCGCGGGTGTCGGCGAGGTAGGCGA